TGTGAGATACTTAGGTCTAGATCACCATATACATATATACATATAAATTATACAGTATACATAATATATACTGTATACATGTATAATATAGAGTCATGATATATATATATCAACATAGAGATATATCCCATGGATATACATATATATATATATATATTATTATTATATTATTATATATGTATATTGAATTTGGTCGTTGCTCCTCTGCCCATGGTTACTAGCGTTTTGTGCACCGTCCAAGAGCGGCCTCAATCGGCTCTGCAACGCCCTTCTGCGACCTGCAGCAACCCAAACAACGGGTAGCTTGGTGGGACAACGACTGGATCTATGGTGGTGGTTCCCTCAAATAGTGATAAATGGCCACCGAATGGTACTCTTCCAATTAAACAGCCGTTTGGGGTTTATTAATCTTGGGTTAACATTAGACTGTATAGATCTACAGTTTGGTCGGTTTGTAAACTAAATTCATAACTGCCGGGGTTCACACTGCGGTCATGAAGTGGATCATTTCAACAGAATATCTGCATTAACCAGCAAAAATAATGATATTCGACGTAATATTCGACATATTTTGACATATCTTGACATAGGGGCATAGGAATATGTATATATATATACATACATGTATACATGTGCTACGGTCAAAACATAGTATATGGGGTATGATTCATCCATCCCAGCATTATATATGGAAATGATGGCTTACAAAGGGTATTATAAATCCATATAAATCCTACATGAGTGAATCGAGTGATGACCATCCCCCGATACGGGCAACTTACCCTAGCTTTGCCCAAGGCATAGTATCTCAACTATTCAAGTGGATCTAAACAATATCAGCCTTTTTGCGGGATTTGTTGGGGATTCGGGATTTGAGCAGAATATCTTCGGGCATTTATAGCAAGAATATGGTGTATTCTGAATTGAGAATAGTATCTCAGAATGTGAGGACATTGGTGGGATATTCGTGGTGGGATATCAATCGGATACATCAATGGATATTCATGGCATATTCATGATTGTTTCGCAAACATATTAAACAATATTATATATATACGGGATTACATGAGTGTGTCTCTGAAAATTGGAAGATTTACCACCAATTTGTGGCCAATCTACTGGTGAAAATCACGATCAAGCAGTAGATACGATGATTTACGGGTACCCTGTTTGCAGACAAACCCATATCTGAATGTCAAAACACCACGAGAGATCAGGAAGTCATTATCTTTGCACATGGCCACCACAAGTCCTGACACTAGGCTTCAAAAGTCCGATCTTCAAACGAATACAAGTGTGCGAATCGGTTTCTGTGGGAGTCCAGTTTCCGGAAATCAAAGTTGGCCACTTTCAAAGATTTCAAAGCAACAAACCGATGATTTTCCCAAAATATGGCAAGGTTTTTTGGGAGGTTTCTTCAATGGGGGGGGCACCCCAAATCACCCCAATTTCCCATGGCACCTTGTCAGTCTGTCCACCAGTGGAGACACTACACCTCGACGAAAGGCCTTGGCGTGGAGTGGCAGGCTGTGGCTGAAAATGGTACTGCCAATGGCCATCAAAAACTCGGGACATGAACATAATAAACCATCAAATTTTATGAATTTTTGGGGTATCCCATTTTCAGACAGACCCAAATTATCAAGTTGGTTTGTTGTCCCAGGTATCTCATTATAAACCCGATTAAACACCATTAAGATCCTGGAACACCTGGAACCCCAAAGAACATGGCTGCGATTTCATAGGACCATCGCTCATCAACTGTTGAATTACTCTAGTAAACCCAACAATCATAATGACAACAAGCATAATAACAATAATCATAGTCATACTAAGTATTAAATATATGAGTGGATGTGCAACACGGCTCGCGAAATCGAAGCAGCCACTCAGCCACTCAGCCACTCTGCCAGAGAGGCTGGACCAGCCACTCAGCCACTCAGCCACTCTGGCAGAGCGGCTGGACCAGCCACTCAGCCACTCAGCCACTC